GTGGAGACCTAGAGAGATCAACCTCTCCTATTTATCTATCTTGTATTTGGGATTTTTGATGGGTGGTTTTTTTTAATAAGAAAATTCGTTCTTCTGAGATTTCTCATCTCGGCTCCATTTCGTACGCTGCGCTACACCAGTTGGTATCACGAGACCAGGCATGTTCCACGATGCCTCTGAAGAGGAATGACTTGGATGCGGCAATCGATGCCGTGATGCGCCGGTGCGACGCGTCGGACCGTCTGTTGGTCGACCTTACTTCGAGGATTGAGGACCTGTCGCTGGCTTTCAACAACAACCGGCAAGGCGAGCTCGAAAACCGTGACATGGCCGACAGACGCGATGGTCGCGGGGGGCAGCGCGGTGGTCGTGGCGGACGGGGTTTTGGCGGGGCGCCCCGCCATCGTTCGCCACCACCGTTTGAAGAGGAGATCCACGATGACGATACTGATACATGGTCGGATGTTAACCCATTTGGGGACCGTCGACAGCCAAGGGATGATGATCGGTGGGCCGACCAGCGGTGGGAGGCTTCTTTCAGGATCGACATTCCAGAGTTTGCGGGGAGTCTCGATGCGGCGGAATTTCTCGATTGGATGGCCGCGGTCGATGCTATTCTTGAATACAAGAGTGTACCAGATGATTGTCGGGTGGGTCTCGTCGCAACACGTCTGAGGGGAAGGGCAGCCGCATGGTGGCAAAATCATAAAGAAACGCGGCGGCGCCTTGGAAAGACAAGGGTTTCGACTTGGGGAAAATTTTGCAAGCATATCAAACGTGAATTTCTTCCTTTCAATTATACTCGCACCATGTACCAAGAACTTCAACAACTCTGACAAGGCACCAGATCTGTTAATGATTACACTGACGAATTCTACCACCTCCTCAACAGAGTGGACGTTCGAGAGACAAACGACCAATTAGTTTCTCGTTATGTTGCGGGCCTTCGCATGGCGATCCGGGACACTCTTAATCTCTTTACACCAGAAACTGTTTCTGATGCTCACCAACGTGCTCTTCTTGTTGAGCAACAAGTTGCACGTCGAGGGTTCTCCTCGTCAGGCACAGCGGCAGGACAAGGCCGTTCATCTTTTGGAGGGGGACATCAATAGGAACGCAGTGGTGGGCCCAGTACTGGCAGCGGTCCTTCTGCCGGTGGAGGTGTTTCGGCCTCGGCGGTGGGTCCACAGACCGGAACTCGATCGGGGAGCAATTTTCATTGTTTTGAGTGTGGTGAAACGGGGCATCGTCAGGCTGCTTGTCCTCGACGGGGTGGGTTGCGAGCTTTGATGACCGGAACTGGAAATGATGTCGAGGATGGTGATATTTACGAGTCAGCCCCTATTTTTGACGAAGAACCTGAAGTTACAGAGGAACATTTGCGTGGAGATGTCGGTCGTGCTCTCGTCCTTCGACGCTCTTGTTTATCACCAAGGGTGGAATCTGGTAGTTCTGTTCAACGACATGCCATTTTTGAGTCAACATGCACGGTCGAGGGGAGGGTTTGTCGATTCATCATTGATTCGGGCTCCTGTGAAAATGTAGTGGCCATAGATGCTGTGGAAAAACTACACTTAACTACCGAACCACATCCTCATCCGTACACTTTGGCGTGGATTCAACGGGGATCCGCTATTACAGTGGACAAACGTGTGTTGTTACACTTTTCGATAGGAGATAAGTACAAGGACTCCGCCTAGTGCGATGTCGTGCCCATGGACGCATGTCACATATTACTGGGCCGGCCGTGGCAATTTGACAAGGCCGCTACTCACGACGGGCTCCTAAACACTTATAGCTTTTTGTGTGATGGTGTTCGGATTGTACTACACCCATCTCCTCCACGTCAGGTACCGGTTGCCACTTCTTCTCTTGTGCTTTTGTTATCTCATACAGAGTTTGCTCGAGAAATGCAGGGGTTCCCATTTTTATTTCTTCTTGTGTGTTCGGATTCTTCCGTCCAAAGAGAGCCCCCAGCTGCTATTCAATCTTTATTGGAGGAATTCAGCGATGTCTTTCCGGATGAGCTTCCGGCCGGACTTCCTCCTCTACGGGATATACAACTTCATATCGACCTGGTGCCAGGTGCTTCCCTCCCAAATAGGCCACATTATCGTATGAGCCCCAGCGAACACGAAGAACTTCGGAGACAGGTGGAGGAATTATTACAGCGGGGTGTCGTTCGACGTAGCATGAGCCCGTGCGCCGTCCCGGCATTACTTATTCCCAAACCAGATAAGTCTTGGCGTATGTGTGTTGACAGTCGGGCCATTAATAAAATCACCGTACGCTATCGGTTTCCCATTCCGAGGCTGGACGATCTATTGGACCAGCTACATGGAGCATCGATTTTTACTAAGTTGGACCTTCGGAGTGGTTATCACCAGATTCGCATCAGACCTGGCGATGAGTGGAAAACTGCGTTCAAAATACGTGAGGGCCTTTTTGAATGGTTGGTCATGCCTTTCGGTCTGTCCAATGCCCCCAGTACCTTCATGCGAGTGACGAATCAGGCCTTGCGCGACCTTATTGGGAAGTGTGTTGTCGTTTATTTCAATGACATCCTTATCTACAGTCGTTTTGTTGAGGATCATCTTGACCACGTCCGCTCGGTGTTGTTAGTTCTTAGAGCTGAGGCTTTCTATGCAGCTCCTCAGAAATGTTTCTTTCTCGTCTCTTCGGTGTTGTTCTTGGGATTCGTTATTTCTGCTGATGGTATTCGTGTTGATGACAACAAGATTGCGGCCATTCGGGATTGGCCGGCCCCAACATCTTTTACGGAAGCACGGAGCTTCCATGGATTGGCGTCATTCTATAGGCGTTTCATTGCTAACTTTAGCTCCATTACGGCCCCTATCACTGACTGCCTCACTGGGAAATCTTTTGTGTGGACCCCTCAGGTAGCCGAGGCTTTCGCTATTATCAAAGAGAAGCTGACGACAGCTCCAGAATTAGTGCTCCCGGACTTCTCACGACCCTTTGAACTCTCTTGTGACGCCTCCAAAGTTGGCATTGGAGCAGTCCTGGGTCAGGACGCCCGACCCGTTGCTTTTTTCAGCGAAACATTATCGGGCCCGAGGTTACGTTACAGCACATACGACGTGGAGTTCTATGCGGTTTTTCGGGCAGTCCACTACTGCGTCACTATCTCTTTCAACGGGAGTTCATCCTCTACACCGACCATGAAGCCTTGCGACACTTGGCTTCTCAAGACAATATCTCAGCCCGTCATGCAACTTGGACGTCCTTTTTGCAGCAATTCACGTTCGTCCTTAAACACCGTTCGGGGACGTCTAATCGGGTGGCGGATGCTTTGAGCCGTCGCTCATTATTATTGACGGATTTGCGTGTCCAGGTGGTAGGCTTCGATCTTTTACGAGACCTGTATCCGTCTGACCCATTTTTCGGTCCCATTGTGCTTCGCTTGGCGTCCGGGCCGTACGAGGATTTTTGTTCACTGATGGGTTTCTCTTTCGCGGTGTCCGTCTTTGTGTGCCAGCTTGTAGTCTCCGCATCCAGTTAGTGGTTGATCTTCACGGCACAGGACACGTAGGGCGTGACCGGTCCATTGCTTTGATCAGTCGTTCCTTTTTCTGGCCGTCACTCCGGCGTGATGTCACTCGCTTCGTTGCTCGTTGTCGTATTTGCAATATTTCTAAGGGTGGTGCGACTAATGCCGGCCTCTATCGTCCTTTGCCCATTCCTTTGCAACCGTGGGCCGCGGTTAGTATGGACTTCATTCTCGGCCTGCCGCGCACCCAACGAGGTAATGACTCGGTCTTTGTTGTCGTTGATCGTTTTTCTAAAATGGTGCACTTTATACCTTGTAAACGGACCACGGATGCTGTCCATGTGGCGCAACTTTATTTTCGTGAGGTGTATCGTTTACACGGTCTCCCGACTTCTATCGTTTCTGATCGGGACACGAGGTTCCTTAGTTTTTTTTGGCGAAGTCTATGGCGCCTTGCCCAAACCCGGTTGGATTTCAGTACCGCTTACCACCCACAGACGGATGGTCAGACCGAGGTCGTCAATCGATCCCTCGGTAATTTGCTGCGTTGTTTGGTTGGGGAATATTTGAAGAGTTTGGACACACGTTTAAGTCAGGCCGAGTTTGCTCATAACTCCGCCGTTAGCCGGGCTACGGGATTTTCTCCCTTCCAGGTGGTGTACGCTGTCCAGCCACGTGGAGCCGCCGAATTGCTCACACTCCCGTCATTGGTTGCGCCGGACCGCAAAGCCGAGGAGTTGATCGCGGATCTCCGAAAGACGCACGAGTCTGCTCGTGCTCACTTGGAGGAAGCTACAACATCTTACAAACGGAATGCAGACACAAAGCGCCGCCATGTTGAGTTTGCCGTGGGTGATTTCGTTTGGGCCGTGTTAATGAAAGACCGCTTCCCCGCCCACGAATACAACAAGCTGGCTGCGCGCAAGATTGGTCCTGTGGAAATTATCGAAAAGATTAACCCCAATGCATACCGTTTGAAGCTTCCTTCTCATGTTCGAACATCCGACGTTTTTAACGTCAAGCACTTGGCTCCTTTCTTGGGGGATAATTCGGAGGGAGATGAGCTCGGTTCGGATTCGAGGGCAAATCCTCTTCAACCGGGGGAGGATGATGGAGATGAGCTCGCATTGGCCTTCATGGAAAAATACGATCGTCTTCCGGCTCTAATATGATTTATTATCCTCTTTTATTCTATTTCCTATTATGTTTTTATTTCCTAATTTTAAGTTTCAAGTTTATTTAGGAAAATAAATATTCCTTACTTGCAAGTGAGGAGACCTAGAGAGATCAACCTCTCCTATTTATCTATCTTGTATTTGGGATTTTTGATCGGTGGTTTTTTTGAATAAGAAAATTCGTTCTTCTGAGATTTCTCATCTCGACTCCATTTCGTACGCTGCGCTACACCAGTATGTGATTCTTGTCATAATAATGTTGCTTTGACATAATCGATGCATTAAACGATGTGTAACTATGATGTTTAAAATCACAAGATTTTGCCACATGTGTAATTGTGTAAACTTTATGTCAACCATTATATTACTGTAGCATACTAACGCCTTAGGATTTTTTTTTTTTTAAATTGATATTTTATTTTTTTTAGAAAATTACAATAAACCTTTTTTTTTTCAACTACATGGAGCAAAATTAATAGTCACATCCCTCCATACATATTAATTCAGAACGTGATGAGCTTAAATGAAAGATTCTCACGCTTCAGATGCTGACATGACGAAAATCTAAGCTTCATGATGTTGTTTTTATATGATTTTTGCTCTGAAGTTAAGTTTAGTATTAGACAAATAATTTTTATCATATATTTCTTAACTTATCACCGTGTTGTACACGGGTATTATATTAATAAAACTGAGGTTGCAACCAAAACTTTCATGGTGATACAAAATTCAAATTGGTCCTAGAATCTGCATAAGAAACCAAATTAGTGGCCAACTGGCCATGTGGGTCATATTGGGTTGGTGTCAAGGCCCATATTAAACTAGTAACCTAAACTACCGGAGAGAAAAATGCACGGAGGAAAACATAATAAAAAAAAAAAAAATAGGTCCATCAAATGATTCATTACTCATATATAAATTATATTCAATCCTCTCAATAATATACATTAGCTTTCATACCACACCTCATAAGTCAAAATCCTAATCTTTTTTAAGGTGTCCAAGAAAAGCAGCTTCTTCAACACTTTTTTTCCCCCTCTTATTACAAGGCAAACCTTTATATAGGACTGCTCAATCTATTCTCATTCATACAACAAACATACTTTATTCCATCTTCTCTATTTTCCAGCTCAAAATTCTTGAATTTTCTCTCACAAGGAAAAGAAAAGAAAAGAAAAACCCCGAAAATGTTGGATTACACGATCGAGTTGATCAGCCTAGCTGCTTCCAACTCCCACGCAGTTTTTTGTTTCTGTAATCTCATCATTGCCATTATTCTCATTGGCAGCTCGAAACCAAGCTCGCAATTCGACGAGACTAAGCCGAATCATGGTTTTTCGAACATTGCCAGTTATGAAAATTTCAAGAAAGTTGTAGTAGTTTCTTCGTGTGTGAAAGCTCAGAATGATTCAGTCGAGGCCGAGAATGAAAAAGCAACACCTGTGTGTGTAGACGTGGTTGTCGACGAAGATGAAGAAGATGAAAATGAAAAGGCAGAACAAGAAGATGAAAATGAACAAGTAGAACAAGAAGATGACGCGGATGAAGATGATGATGAGTTGAGAAAAAGAGTTGAGGATTTTATCGAGAAAGTTAACAGGGCTTGGAGGGCCGAAAAGATGAAAACTTATTCTTTAGGCCAATGACGAGATTTCGAAAGGTCGCGATTTTGAATTTGAAAAGAACTTTGTATATTATCAATATGATTGTTCAGTGTTTTGTATCTGAGTTTAGTATATGAAACTCTGTTTGTTTGAGTCTGAAAAAAGTCATGTTCTTTAGAAATTTTAAAAGAAAATAAATTATGAACAAAAGTATAGAGAATAAGTAGCACAGCATTAAGAACGCAGATTGGCATATATTGATGGGAATGTAGTGGAAATATAAACAATCATTCTTAAAATTGACAAGAAATCAAAGAAAGTTCCAAAGTCATTATGCTAAAGCCTTGTTCCCCATGGCCAGATAGCTCGTCTAGGCCATACACGGCCGGGTCTCCTCCAAAAATAGTTCGGCACAA